CTCCCTTCTTGGACTCTTCTTCATCCCATCTTTTCTACGTTCCCTCTGCGAGGTTTTTTCTTTTTTCTTTCTTCGTTAAAGGTATCAAAAAAGAGTCAAAAGTACAATGTCGAATTTAATACATAGAGAAGCTCGAGTAGCCCATAATGATAGAATCCAAAGCAGCCACGACACACATGAGAAGAAAAGAAAAGGGTATATTCTGTCCATGATCAGACCAAAGGCGACTCCCTATTTGTTGTTGTTGTTTTCATATCCAGACAGGTTCTTTGCGAGCCTTTGCCTTTGGTCGACCCTTTTTATTCTCAGGTGCGTATTGGGTAGGGATGTCGGGTAGCGGCAAGCTGGAGTAGTAAGCTTCCGCCGAGACGACGTACCCACCGCGGGCGTACATTTCGTTCATTTGTTGGGTGGTGGTTGTAGAGGTGGATGTGCTCTCGATACGTCGACTGCGCTCCTCATATTCGGTGATACTCGCACTGAGCTCACTGGCCACTCTTGCAGGCACAAACACTCCATGCCTAGCCTTGACCCACGGCGCCTGTTCCTCTTCTACCCGGCGTAACGGCTGTTGCTGCTCATAAGACGAATCACTGGTCTCGCTACTAGTCGACCGTCTCCTCTTCTGCTTTGTGTAAATGCTCATCCTCGGAATCAATACCTGAGCGTTACGGCGGGATCGGTGACGTCGAGGTTTTGGTTTTTCGCGGAGACAGGAAAAGCAGGGTTGGTCGGGCAGACGAGGACGGTTGCACGAAAAGCAAGTGCGCTCGCCTCTCATCCCACCATGTGAATTGAGCATGGAAAGTAGTCTGGCTTTGGACATGCCCACAGGAGACCATTTCTCAGGGACGGGAGGAGGGATAGAGTTTGTGTCGGAGAACTTGGAGCCTAGGGGTGGCCGGTCCTCGCTATTGCTGCGCGAGTGGTTCCGAGAGTGGGAAGGTGTGCTGTGGTTTTGCGAGCTATAGATGGAGGGCGAGTCGGGTCTCGAATGAGCCTTCTCATAGTCGTAATCATGAGTGATTTTGCTGGTCTTGCATCCCATGAATCGTCACTTGTAGTAATGAATGTTGAACAAAGAAAAGGTGCCTCGAAAGAAGAAGAAAAGAAAAAGAAAAAAAAGGTGGCGACCCGTCTATCAAAGCGGAGTAAGCGTCTTGGTGGGTGAACACGACTGAACAGGGAAGCTACGCACCGACCACAACGAAGAAAGAAAAAAGAAAAAACCTCGCAGAGGGAACGTAGAAAAGATGGGATGAAGAAGAGTCCAAGAAGGGAGAGAGGCGTGTTCATGGGAGTGCTCGTTCACTGCCCCGCTCCTCTTACTGCCTCCATTGTGATGGCGACGGCTATCCCAACTCATCCCCGGGTATTATGTAAGCACATTCCCACCCTCAAGTAGTGCCTCCGTTTAGCGTCACAAGACCGCTCAATTGAAGATTGGGCGAACAGCTTCACTCGTATATTGCCAATATTTCCATTCCAGTCACTAATCAATATCCAAATAATTATTATTCCCAAAATGTGATGATAGCGGCGGACAGCGGGCGTGGAAGGAGGAGAGTTGTGGCGGTGAGCCATTTCCAAACTTGTCGGCGCGGCCCATCTCGACATATCCAGCTCAGCAGGCAAGACTGCCAGCTTTGGAGATTCTACAACAGGAGAAATACCTCGTAATAGAATCCTACATGGGAGCCAGTTATTGGGACGAGAACAAAATTATGATCGCTCCCGACTTTTGGCCAGTCTTGAAGTGATCTAGTCAACTTTGTTCTACTTTGATTGTGAATACAACGTCACTTGGATATTGGATACGAGCTACTATCGAGCCAACTTGAACGCTTCGCTCAGAGTTGCCAGTTCAATTCAAAAATTGGATTCACTATTTATACACAGTGTTGATGACACTATCATCGGTCAGATTTCAGTCTGACTCGTCACCGCCATGGGGATCAAAGCTGCTGTTGGCTCCAAAGTATTGTGGGGCACCCCACATCCAGAGGTTCCATCCGGCGTGATGAATACTTCGGTGCTCGAGAAGACTTTCGATAGTTTTTCCATTGTCGTCGAAACTAGATACCGTACGTTAATGCTTGTGGTCTAATCGAACAAACTCAGGTCAAAAACTTACTAGGGAGGAAGTGCCCAATACACTACTTCGCTCGTCAAGTGCTTTTGAGAGCCGATAAATCTCTTGGCTGCCTCATCCTTGATGAATCCCCACTTCAATCCCTCAAGTTTGAACGGATACTCCCAATACGGCAAGTCCCCGTAAGTGATCCAAGTCGGACCTATCTCCAGTAGAGTTAAGAATGGCAATTGCTTGAGGATGTTGTGCAAAACAGCGACGGATTCCCAATGTGGGTTGACTACAGTGAGTAGCTGGCGCACATGATCTTTGAGGATAGGGCGGCTGACCAAAGTCTCGGCAAAGTTGCGGGTGGATGCATCCGACATGAGCTGAACACGGTGATAGAGTCTTTTGACCACCACGGGGTAGATACGAGAGCTCAAGTAGACGCAAGCTGGGAGTGACTCTCGGTCAACTTGGGAAAACACAATGTCCAAGATCTCGGACGGCATTCTCTCCATTGCCGAAGTGGGGACGACTTGCTGAGATAGTTCCTTGTTGTAGTTTATCATGTTCTGAGTAAAGTCAACTTCCACGCCCTGCCTAGAGTGAATGTCCTCATCCTTTGCGGTTTTCTGGAATTTTTCTATCTCCATGAGGTATCCATTCTTTGGAGGTTGCTTTTCTTCATTCACTTCGCGGCATTTTTGGCAAAGAGAACACTGACACCCCTCTGGGAGCTCTCGAATGCAGTGCTTTGCGAGTCCTCTAAAAGTTTCTTCCGTAATGTCTTTCCATCCATCGAAATCCTTCATATCATGTAGGGATATCATATCCACTTGGGCACCGGCCCATGAGCCTGCGTGCCAGTTTGGGTGTTTGAGATAGAACCCCATACTGGGGTCGCCTGACCACGATAGTTTGCTGAAAAGTGCTTGAGCCAAACCCCAATGGTCAGGAACACCTGAAAACACAGTGTTGGATAAGGCGGGTATGAGAAAGAATATATCAGCTGAGAGCAAGGCGAGAATTTGCCACACAGACCTGGGAACAGCCGACTTGTAAAGTATTCGCGTGCTGAGAGATTGCGTACGACGATGACGTGTTCCTCTCCATTCTGTTCTTGTGGCCATACGACCTTTCGAATGGTCCTTATGTATTGGAGGGGAGTATCTGTGTCCATTGCTGGATCGACAAAGTGGCGAGGGGGGACACCGGGAGGAAATTCTTCGGCATATTCACCGAATAGAATGATTCTATCGCCTGCCCAGGAGCCTTTCACTCCAGGTACGAGAATCTGGAGGTCTACCAAGCGGAAGTTTCCCTCCCAGAGGAGCTCTACCCATTTGCCACCTCGGGTAGAAGCCTCCCACTTGTCGAGATTGACGAGGACCCACTCTTGTCCCATATCAGATATAGCGTGTCGCTTGAAGAGAAGGAGTACGGGCTTGTAACGTTTGGGGAGGTTGTAGTGGGGCGCAAAGTGTGTGACGTTGAGGGTGTGGCAAAATCACTCATGATTACGACTATGAGAAGGCTCATTCGAGACCCGACTCGCCCTCCATCTATAGCTCGCAAAAC